CTTCTCATTTCCTCCCACCAGTAAAATGATTTTGGTGATAGTCAAAGATTAGAAAGACCACTACCATCCAAGAACAGAGCTGAGATGAACCTTGGCTCCATCTGGTGGTCAGGAGGGGAATTAGAGGGGTGGGGCTCCTTACCTCTGGGGGCCGTCTTACCCTGGTTTACCCTACAAGTAAAATTTAAATATTGTATAACAAGGAGAACAGAATAAAATAAATGAGGATAACTTTGTAGCCGTCAAAGAGAGTAAAGAATTAAATGTATTAATCTGATGATGTATACACATTATATATTGGTATCAGTAGGTGTGTGTTTACCTGTGAATGTAGGTTTCAGTCATTCATGACGGACTCAGTGATGTCGTAGTAAACAGCTGCTCACCTGTTCTCTGGTGCAGCGGTCAGTCGAGGGTTAAACAGGCCATCTGCTCCCAAGATTAACAGATTACTGAGCTCATCCAGGCCAGGGAGGGTTCTGGTCTCAGATCAGGTTTCATAATCCTGGCTGTGCTCCCTCAGAGAGACTGTAGCTGGGTTAACTGCCTCCAGGTCAGTGTGTGGGCGGGGCCGCTCCACCTGAACCTCTTCAGCAGGTTATGTCAGCTCAGCAGTAGCTCACTGGTTCTGTGTGAGTGGGACCAGTGGAGGTGAGAGGATGTGAGCCTGGAGGAGAGGCAGCATGCTGGGCTGGGTGGGAGCTCTGATCAACAAGAGCTGGCTGGACAGAGAGCGGCCCGGCCCCCCCTCAGAGAGGAAACCTCGCTGTGGACATGGTCGGGTAAGAACCGAGGGTCAGGGGTCATCTGATTGGTCCAGAGTCCTGCAGATTCAGAGACTTTACCTGTGTATTTTATTATTGTTTATCAGTTTGAGTAGAAATGGTTCAGTCTGTTTGAGTGAGTGGTGCGTTCAGGTGCAGCTGTGTTAACCGGAGCCAGACGGTGCATCAGTATCTGACCTCTCATGACCCTGTAGTTCTGTTGGTTCTGTTCTTGTTGAGCATTAATTTACATCAGCTCCTCTACACTGCTGCTGAGCTCCTGTTTCTGCTGGAGTCCAGAGGATCCTGGTTGTTGCAGGATATTTGCATAAAGTAGAGTCTGAGTTTCCCCTGTGGTGGTGGTGCTGGAGGCTCAGCGGGGGGGCGGGCTGTAAAACCAGGTGAACAGCAGCCGTCTCTGTCCCAGTCAAAAACAGTTGACAAGAAGACAGCATGGCTCCTCTTTATTCTGAGACTTAATCACTTTATTCCGACTCTTAATCCATTGGATGCTGTTCGGTCTGTTCAGTGGAGCAGTCGGTCCAGAACTGACCTCCTTCTGTTTGTCTGTGTTCACAGTCTGGACTGAAGTGTTGACTGCTCCAACCTGGATCTGTGTCTGTCTGTGGACCAGCTCACCTGGTCCAGTGAGTGATCTCAAACCTCTGATCCAGGTGTGACTGAGTTCATCAGGTGTATTCAGACTTTGAATTATAGAGTGAGACTCACTCTGATCCAGACGGACTCTGATCCAGATTGTCTTCAATTTTCTGCTGCAGGGACTTAAACCTGAAAGTCTTGCTTTTGCTGACCTCACCTGGTTGCAGTGACGTACAGGTGTACACTGTGACATCATCATTGGGTGTGGTTACAGGTCCTGCTGACCACACCCAGCTGCTCCTAGCTGTAAATGTTCACACTCAGAGGATTATTGTGGGCGTTCCTGTTTTTCATCTTTTATTTATAATATATTTTTATTTGTGTGTCAGTCCGTCTCTTTACTCCCTCCCTCCTCTGTCTGTGTCTCAGCTCTGAGCTCATTGGTTCCTCCTGAAGACGTAAATATTTAAAAAGCTGTTTCCTCGAACAGCTGCTCATTGTAGTTTTTACTAAACAAACGGGAGGAATTGCAGCATTTGTTGGGGACTACTTTCAGTGGTGGATTAATCCACATTTGGAGCTGTAGTGAGTATTTGGGGCAGCAGGACAGTGTGTGTGGGAATGAGTATAAACTACAGTGTGTGTGTGAGTGTGTGTTTGTGTGTGTGTGTGTGTGTGTGTGAGATCGACTGCTGTTATTTGTGTCTAAAATCATCCTCCTGGAGTGAAAACTCAGACCTGAACACACCTGAAACATGTTGATCTGATTCAGTGCGACTTCACTTTCTGATGACATCATCATCTCTGATGTCCCTCCAGAATAAAACTCCAGAAATCCACTTAGAAACCAAAAGAAAGAAGAAGCTGCAGAACTTCACAGAGAATCTTCCTGGTTTTAGTTTTTCCTTCAGTCTCACAGTGATCCAGTGACAGTTGAACATTGTGATACACTGCAGACAGGAGCTGATTCAGCTGCTGCTAATGGACAGTTTGATTAAATATAAACAACAACACATGCACATGAAGAGAAATATAATATAGATTTAAACTCTGACAGTAGAATCAGTTCATTTGCAGATGGAGTCTGGACTGTATCGTTCAGGTGTGATGTGGTCTCTGTGTCTGTCTGTCTGCAGCCGGTCCAGCGGTCCAGCGCTCTGCTCAGCCCGGCGGTCATGTTCGGCACAAGAAAGACCTGGGACCTCGGCCACGCCCCCTGCCTGCAGGAGCTCTGGAAGAAAGACATTTCATTGGACGGTGAGTCGGACGTCTGCTGCAGAGGAGGAGGAGCGTAGACTGAAGGGACAAAAAAAAACACCAGCATGGCTGCATTTTTGGCATGACAGGGGAGTGAGAGTGTGTGTGTGTCTGAGTGTGTGTGTGTGTGTGGAGGCAGGCGAGGTGAGTCATACCTGTTATTAATGAATGGAGCTCGACAGGCAGAGGAACCAGAGGAGTGTGTGTGAGGGTGCAGATTACAGAGGGACGAACAGGTGAGCTGAAAACATCACCTCTATCTGTCTGTTTATTTATTTATTCATGTGTTCATTCGTGTTTCTCAGCTGATCGTTTTACAGTCAGAGTCTCAGGACGGATCAGGTTCACAACACTGCAGCTATTGTCAGAGAAACAGAGAGAGAGAGAGAGAGAGAGAGAGTTTCTCTTCATGTCCAGCAGGTTTACTGATTCATGTTTCCATGAAACTCTTCTCACCTGAACCTGAATATTAATGATTAAAACTTCAGGTGTGTGTAGATCTGCAGTGGTTGATGGACTGAATGCATTTGCTTTGATATTTGATATTGATAATTGAATATTCATTGTCATTTAAGTCAAACATGTCTCTGGTTCAGTCTGAGGACTTCCTCTTTTATTTGATATTAAACTGAATATCTTTGGTTTGAAGACGTCACCTTCAGTTCAGAAACTCTGCTGGACATGTTTCATGTTTTTAACCTTTTATAGACCAAATGATTAACTTTAAAAATAACCAGCAGGTTAAATGATAATGAAAGGATTGTCAGATGCAGCCACTGACCCATATTTTTATACCCTGGTGTCTTTACACTTAATATTTCTGCTGTTGTTAGAGCGTTGTAAAATAAAATAACATATATGGGGAACTCCTGTAATGTGTCCTGTAAGGTCTGGACCTTACCTTGTAAAGAGCTTTGAGATAATGTTTGTAATGATTCGGTGCTACACAAATAATATTGAATTGCATTCATCCCAGAACCAAACACAAACCCTGAGTTTAATTTAACTAATCAAATGTATTTCAGACTGAAGACAAATAGCTGCAGAAGACGACTGAACATCTGTCCAAACATTAGATTCCTTATCTTGATTAGTCTCTGATCTGCTGATTATCTTTGATCACGTCTTTAGTCTAGAGTGATGTCTTCACTGTTTTCACTCAGTCTGAACAACAAACATGACGAGAGTCTGACTGTAGACAAGAACATTTAGAGTTTTAATTGAATCTGTTTATTTACAACAAACACACATCAACAAACCTTTCTGTGACCAGCAGCTGACGAGTTTCCATCTGCACCTGCTCTGAAAATAAATAATGTGACGGTTCCTTAAACACATAAAACACAAACTCTCAACCACATGACTCAACAACAAGTGAGGTAAAAGAGAGGATTGTGTGAAATGTGGCAGCCTCAGCATTGGTACAAGTAGTGGTGGAAAGAAGATGGATGTCAACACCGTAAATAAAAAACAACTTACATATGGAGAAAACAGGACTCGGCCAGGAAGAAATTCTGGATCAGGCCTGGAGCCCCGCCCACCACCTGCTGGCTCCAGGTGGACAGGTGAAAGAGCAGAGAGGATGAAGATGGGCAGAGGAGGAAACATCAGAGAGACTCAGCCACATGTTTGAGCCTCAGTCAGACCCAGACTCAGAGGAGGAGTCTGAGACCAGAACCAGAGACTAGCAGACGGGTCAGAACCGTTAGCTAGTTAGCATCTTTCATTTGTTTATGTTGTTTGTTAGCTTGTAACTGGCAGTGGCTGACGCAGTGTTAGCAGTTGTGCTAATGCTAACTCTCTCTCTCTCTCTGTACTGACGAGGTTTCAGGTGTATTTAGCCCCGCCCCCCGTCCCCACAGGTTGACAGGATTGGTTCCTGAGGTCTGTGACGTATGAAACCCTGAATCTGTGTTTATGAGTCTGTCATTGGTTCACTGCAGCTCAAGCTGGACACACTGAGTCATGGTGCTGATGATTATTTCATCATCCTGTCTTGTATATGGACATAGCTAACTTAGCTAACCCTAACAGGGCCTCCTTTATCCAGTGCATCAGAATAACACACCTGGATGTTGGCGGATGTGGTAGCTGAGGGTGGGAAGCCCAGACCATGTGGGTGAGATGATCTAATCCTGAATGACAGTTATCACAGTCAGGATCAGGTCCTGGGTCGATGCGGGCTGGTTTTCTTTTAGACCAGTGAACTCTGTGTGTGGACCTACCTCAGACTGTGTCTCAGTGAGGGGAGTGCTGCACAACTTTAGGATTAATAATAAGAATGGTGTCGACAGAGGTGGGGGGGGTTTGTAAGAAGTAGGTCCTGCAGGTTAAATACACAACGCCAACAAGAAATGACAATTGTCATTTAGTTTATTATGAGTCAGCAACGACTACAACAGTGTGTGTGTGTTTTTTCAGCACTTTCTGCAAGTGTCAACATTTACTGTGTCGCCCTGAAAAAGCAACACAGCGTTTTCTGAGTGTGTGTGTGTGTGTTTTAATCCTTGTTTCTAATCTGTCAGTATGTCGCAGTATTTGGTTTAAAGCAGGTTTTTCCTCAGTCTGAGTCCGAATGTGCAGGTCTGAATACCGTGTGTGTGTGTGTGTGTGTGTGTGTGTGTGTGTGTGTTAAGTCTGTTTAATGCTCAGATTTTTCCCACAGAGTGCAGATTGTTCTCAGGTTGATAAGATTTGAGGCCCTGTACACTCTGGGAAACTTGTGACACACACACACACACACACACAGACACACACACACACACACACACACAGGTTAATGTATCAGCATCTGTTATCAGCTGTTATGTGGTCGGGCTGGTTCCTGTGGTATTCAGGAGGTTTACCCAAGAGGAGGGGATCGTCTCAGAGCTGATTCAGGAGAAAAAACTTGGTCCAGGTTTTTTCTCATCAACCTCGTTAATCACTGATTAGCTATAATCTGATTATAGATTAGTTTACATTCGTCCTCTAAGAGATTTACACTGTTTCACATACAGATGTACGTTTGGTGTCTGGTGGGCTGGACGAGTCGGAGTTTAACCAACAACAATTACTGACAGAAGAAGATAAAACGCTTCACTCTGTTTGTCCCTCCTGTGTGTCCGTAGCGAGCTCAGTGGACTTCCTGATGAGTGATGGTGAAGACGACGGCTCCTTCCTGTCTCTGCCCACCGCTGCCTTCTCACAGCGCCCGTCTCTGACCGCAGAGCTGACCGAAACAAACGCACCCAGCCAACAGCTGCTCATCCAGGTAACGCACATTATATGCTGCAGCAGAGGAGGGGCACGGGTCCTCCTCAAATCTGATTGGTCAACCTGTTCCCTCCACCAGAGTGTTGACTATTATTGTTGGAAAATCAATCAAACAACAACTAAGACATTCAAAACCACCACTCAAAGACTCAACCACCAAAGACTCAAAGCCACCAGGGACTCAAAGATTCAGAACAACCAGAGACTCAAAGACTCAAAAACACCAGCTCAAAGATTCAAAACAACCAGAGACTTAAAGACTCAAAACCACCACAAAGATTCAAAACCACCACAAAGATTCAAAACCACCACCAAAGACTCAAAGCCACCAGCTCAAAGATTCAGAACAACCACAGAGATTCAAAACCACCAGAGACTCAAAGATGCAAAACCACCACAAAGACTCAAACTGTTAATAATGTTCAGTTTATTGTTGCAGAGAATCAGGACTTCAGGACTTATTTGGGTCTGAACACATTTTTACTCATTAGGCAAATGCGTCACACTCTCTTCATTGTGTGTGTGTGTGTGTGTGTGTGTGTGTGTGTGTGTGTGTGTGTGTGTGTGTGTGTCTGTGTGTGTGTGTGTGTGTGTGTGTGAGAGAGAGAGAGAGAGAGAGAGAGAGAGAGAGAGTGCTGACTCACAGCTGACATCAGTACAGTCGACATTCAGCTGAGTCTCTTTCCACCTCAGGGAGACGTCACTTCGTCACATCTGTAACATCTGTAACATCTGTGTTGATCCGGTCTGATGTTGTAGTGACTCTGCAGGTTTCTGCTCTCTGAGCTCTGACCTCTCTGTGTCTCATAGATGTTGCTGTCAAACTGTCCAGTCTGAATGAGTCAGAATTGTCTTTGCCCTCTCTGATGTCCTCGTCTCTGTTCTGTCCTCCATCTTGTCCGTCTTTTCCACGCTGTCCTCCTCCTGCAGAAGGTTACCTGGTCCTGCTGGTGGACTCCTGCCAACGTAAAAACACTCAGTCTTTTAGTGGCTCATAGTTTCTGCTGCAGTGACTCAGAGACATGTCCCCTGGTCTTTTTACTTTCTGTACACATTTCCTTTTTCTTTCTAGTCTTCTCTCTCCTCTTCCTGTCTTCCTGACGTCGTAGAGCTGTAGACGTGTTTGAAGAAAAATCAGGATTCCTGAAGCTTCCCGCCTTTAGAAACAGTTTGTTCCACATGACTGAATAAATGATGTTCACTCATGTTTCTGTGTGTGTGTGTGTGTGTGTGTGTGTGTGTGTGTGTGTGTGTGTGTGTGTGTGTGTGTGTGTGTGTTCAGACTCTACAGGACAAAGTGTGTGAGTTTCAGGCTCGTCTGCGCTCTGAAGAAGTCACTCGTCACCTGCTGCTCCAGCAGCTGCAGCAGCAGAGCGTCCAGGAGAAGTTGTGTGGAGGAGGAGGAGGTGTCCAGACGCTGCAGGAGGAGCGGCTGTCGGCCCCACCCACAGGTGAGAGCAGAGATTACAGCAGGAGGAGATGGTTTATTCAAATCAGCTGTGGAATCAGAACGCACCTGTCCATGAGGTCCAGGTTCTAAACTGAAGATGATGTCAGTGTCAGAGGGATGATGATTTCACCACAAGTAGTTCTTTGACAATGGTGCAGCAAGAGTGAAACCATTGTCGTGTGTGTGTGTGTGTGTGTGTGTGTGTGTGTGTGTGTGTGTGTGTGTGTGTGTGTGTGTGTGTTGTTGGTCTGTGTCCTGTGGTCTGGTCTGTTGGCTGTGTCTTGTGTATGTGTGTGTTTGTGTGTGTGTGTGTGTGTGTGTGTGTGTGTGTGTGTGTGTGTGTGTGTCTGTGTGTCTGTGTGTCTGTGTGTCTGTGTGTCTGTGTGTCTGTGTGTGTGTGTGTGTGTGTGTGTGTGTGCAGGTGAGAGGGCGTTGCAGCCCGGTGATCAACCTTCAGATCGTCTCATCTGTCCAGAAGAAGAGCAGCTCGTTACTCGGCTGCGCACACAGGTAAAGTCCTTTGGGAAGTCGTTAACATTTTAATAAGCTACTGTTTATTGTTTACTGGTGACAGTGTAATGTGTTTACATTGTCAACACACGTTTGCTTATACAGCAACATTCAGACTAAGATGAAGAAGATTAACGTGTCATTGAAACTGCTTTTAAAAACAATAAAAACTAATTTGAATAATTAAAAACATTTTGAATAAGACCCATTAGGATAAAATTAAACCAAGTAAGAAACTTTCTCTTTAAGATGAAAACTTTCTTTAGTCTGTATCTGTTTCCATGGAGACTGTCAGACTGTCTCAGTACCAGCAGCTGAATCAGCTGTGATCAGCTCCTGTCTGCAGTGTAGCATGATGTTCATTTCTCACTATCACTGTGATCCTGAAGGAAACAGGAGGATTCTCAGACTCTGCAGTGAGTTTGTTTCTCGTCTTTGAACAAACACCTGAAGGTTGAAGGTCAGGTGATGCGTCAGCTGTCAGACTGAAGTGTGCTCATCAGCATCACATGTAAAATCAGTCTGACACTTTGACAGCTTGGCTTTATTCTCAGTCAGAGCTTCACCTCACTGAGCTGCTGCAGGTTTAATGAGGTTTCTCTCAGCTCAGTGGATCAGAAGTGACTCTGTGTTTATGTGTGAGAGCAGGTTGAGTTTCATTGTTCGACTGCAATTAGACAAAGAGGAAGTGTTACATCATCGGACCGACTGTAATCAATATCTGTCATATACCAGGTGACGGTTCACAATTAACTACAATACACAACACAGTTCAGACGACACGTGATATTTTAATAAAGTTTGATTGAAAACAAAGTGGGAATTTGTAAATTCTTCATTTAATGATTCTTTGTCAGAAATGTCTGAACCATTATTGGACGAGATGCCACAGAGATTTTCATGCCCATGATAGAAGTTTGAATATCTTGTATTCTCATATTCATATTCATATATTCATGTTTCATATTCATCACTCAAAGTGGAGTAAAAGGTGAAAGTTTAAGAGGTTAAACGAGATGTGTTGGTTTCCAGTTTCATATTTCAGTTCATGTTCATGTTTCCTGGTTTCAGGGAAAAAGGAAACTGAAGATGTTGCATATTTTAGTTTTTGAGAGGAAACAAAAAATGTGCTTGGATTTGAATACAAGATAAATGTGTTGTTGGGGCTGACATGTTGAAAGCGACAGTTTGAACCTGAGGTGATGATGTTGTGTTGCTGTGCTGTCTTGGTCTCTGCAGGTGGAGGAGCTGGAGGAGAAGCTGTTGGATCAGACTCAGGAGGTGGAGAGACTTCGCTCTGAACTGGTGAGACTCTGCTGGACCACATTCCTGAGGAACCCTGGGAAAAAAAACCCTCAAAGTGTCCTCACTAACCTGAACCTGCACTCAGACCTTTACAGTAGTGAGGACCAGAATGTCCTCAGAGAGCAGAAATACAGATCCACACAGCCTCACATGCGGAGTATAGAATATTATTTCATTCAAGAAGGTGAAAACAGAGTTTAGTGTCTGTGAACTTAGTTTTGTAAAGTTGTACATTTAGTTTTCTACCTGTAAACTCACTTTTGTAAGTGTGTGCAGTCAGACACAGGTTCGCAGGTTCACTTTCACAAGCTGATTAATAAACCCCAAAGATGATTAATCCTTAATTAATGTGTCAGAGCAGGGAGAGTATCTTTTAAAAACATCTACTGCACAGTCTGTCTGCTGCCATAACCTCAGTCAGTGAAGTGGCAGCTCAGGTACCTTTATAATCTTCTGACCCCCCCCCCCCCCCCCCCAATCTAATATCTGTGCGATCTACAATCCACTTCAATAGATACGGCTCAGACATTCAAAGCACCTGTAAAAAAGTTTAATATTTTACAATATTTTTGTGTTTTTTGGCTCACTTTATGAAAAGTCATAACATTTCAGGATAAAAGACATTTAGGGTCTTTTTACTGCTGTCAAATGTCAAATTTGCCCCTAACAGTATTTAAGGGTTAAAAGGGGTTAAAGTGGCTGTGTCCTCCTGTCCTGCAGGGGGCGACAGACCTGGAGAAGCAGCTGGAGCTGCTGGTGGTGGAGAACGAGCATCTGAAGCAGGAGCTGAAGTCATGGAGGAGCTCAGAGCTTCAGAAGCTCGACGCTGCTGCAGAGAGCTGCAGCTGCAGCCACTGCCCCCACAGTCAGGTGAGTCACCACACAAAGGTACACACACACAGATAGGTGCACAGTCAGGAGCGGCAGCGTTCTAAACCCTGACTCCGTCCTGCAGGATGCGGAGTCCCTGCGGAGGGAGGTGTCCCGCTGGGAGAGCCAGGCCCGGCAGAGGGAGCGGCGGCTGGCTGAGCTGGAGCGAGAGCTGCTGGAGAAGAGCTCCAGGGTGGAGACGCTCCACCGACAGCTGGACGACTCCACCCGGCAGCTGGACGACGGACGGAGGCAGCTGGAGGAGGCGCGGCGGCGGAAGGGGGAGGCCGAGCAGACACTCTCCCTGCGACTGCAGGAGTGCGAGGAGGAGCTCGCCAGACAGGCAGCGGCGCCCCCCAGAGTCAAGGTGAGGAGACAGTGGTCGAGGGACGGGGTCAAACATCATTAGTTCAGTTCATCTGTGGTCTGCTGTAGCTGCTCTGTGTTTATGTGCGAGGTTTTAACGGCAGCTCTCGTGTTCATCGTTCAGTATGTGACTCAGAAGGTGGAGGTGGAGTCGGCCGACTCTCAGAAAGCTCTGGCCGAGATGCAGACGAAGAACGCCGCCCTGCAGGAGCAGCTCTCCGTCCAGAGGCAGCTGCTGAGGGAGCTGGAGACGCAGCTGCACGAGTCTCAGAGGACCTGCGCTCAGCTCAGGACGCAGGTAACGTCACCTGTGACAGTTACGCTCACCTGCTGCACATCTGCTTCCTGTTTCCTGTTTCCTGTCTCAGTCCCAAACCGATCCAGATCACAGGGAGTCTGCTCAGTCAGCGTTTCTGTAGTTCTGACTCCTCCAGAGTCGGATGTTACAGATGTTTCAAGTGTGTGTCATCATGTGTGCCCTGTGCAGAGAGATCTACATCTCACTTTATTATATTCATAGTTAATATTTCAGGTATAAATAAACAGATTTAGGTTTAAGCCCAGAAACAGCTGGATCTGTAACCTCACTGTGTGATGGAGCCACAGCTGTGTAGTGAGGCAGGTGATGATGACTGTGATGAAGGAGGTTGGTGGATAAACAGACTTCAGATCAGACTTCAGACTGAACCCCCCTCCCCCCTCCTCATCTCTACCTTCTCCTCTGTGCATGCGTTCGGCTGCAGCTGTTCACTGATCGAGGTCGTCTCTGCAGCCTCCTCTCCAAAGCCGTCGGCAGGGGCAACAGTGAGGTGGTCTGCAGGTTGTCCAAGGTTGGCCCCACCTCCTCTCTTCTCCTGTGACATCACTGAGTTTCAGAGGTCACAGTAACCCCTCCTCTCCCTGACGTCTGACCTTGAGCTCAGGCTCCAAAGCTGCAAAACAAAACCACCAGTTGATCCTTTTCACCTGAAAAACAAAGTCTGCAGTTGTTTTTCAGCCCTGAGTAATGTCTGCAGGCTCTAATAACACAAGGAGCTCCTGCAGTAAAGTAGGTCAGCCTGAGAGAAAAGACCCAGGGCAAAGTGTCTGCAAAGCTTTAGCTGAACGTCTCACTGCTGCACGTTCAGCTGGTTGTTTTGAGCTCCAGGTAACGAGGCTCATAGGAGCTTCATGTTTCAGAGGAAATGATGTCGTTGATTAATTATAATGATTTAATAAGTCAAACTACAGGATCAAACAACACTTATATCCTGTGTAGAACTGAGATTCAGTGAGAATTAAACATTTAGTATAAATTAAAGCTGTTAAGGAGGTTTCTCAGTTTCTGTTTACATTGAAATCAGTTTATTACTGACGTGCAGGAATGGCCAGGATGTGGTTTAACTGGTAAACTGGTTTTACTGGGAAGCTTTGGAACCTGTCAGACTCTGTGAGCTCTCCCAGTCTGTGATTTGAACCCGTCCCATTAACTTTCTCTCTCCCAGTTCTCCCAGTTTGTGTCCCTCCACACCAGTAAGGCTGCGTTCACACTACATTTAAACTGGATTCCTTCCTGTGGTGTGAGTGAAGCCTCCCAGTGTCTCAGGCTCCTCGTTCACCTGTGTGGTCAGTTCACCTGTCTGTAGTTTGGTAGTTTGTGTTGTTGTGATGCAGGTTGTGGTTTTGTCCATGATCCTGAGTTTTACCTTCACGTCCAGGTGAGGTGACACGTCCACAGTGACATGAGGTCGTCAGGAGTTCAGACCTGCAGGACGTCTCTGAATTAAATTCTAATTTGATACCAAAACAAAACTCTATTGACCTGTTTAATTTGAACTTTGTCTGAGTAAAATACAGTTTAAATTTCTAATTGAAATCAGGAAGTGATCAAAGAATAAATCAGTCAGATTATGGATCGGTGCCTGTGTAGCTCAGACTTGTGAGAATGACTTTACAGAGTGTGTGTGAAGAACCAACGGAGGAGTGAAACAGCTGTTGGCTGCAAGAAGGAAGAATCACGTGATCACATGACTGATGAGAGAAGGAATAACCAATCAGAGGCGAGCGTGAGGATCTGCATATGAGGCTGTAGCTGCAGTGTTTCAGTGATGACACGTGAGCATCATGTGACCGTGGAGCAAAAGAAGAAAGAAGAACATGTAGAATTATAATTTTTAAAAAGTCACTTTATTTGTGTGAAATCTTTAAATCCTTAGGAATAATAATCAACAGTTTCATATATTTATAAAGTATAAATATAGAAACAGGGATGAAGTGGAAACTAAACTTTGTCAGATCAGATCAGAGAGTTTAGATCCCCACTGACAGACAAAGTGGTTTAACATCATATTAAATTATGTTGAAATGTTAATAATATAACTCAACAATAACTAATCAAGCAGCTCAATAAGCAGCTCCAGGTTCACTCCACTCTGGTTCTGGATCTCCTCAGCTGTTATCAAAGTGTGTTGTTGGGTCAGCCGGTCCTGTCTGAGCGTCTGAGGTCCGTCCTCTGTCTGTCAGCCCGCTCTCAGACTCTGGGTTCTGTCCTCCAGATCCTGGTCTATGAAGGAGAGATGGAGCGGGCTCAGGGTCAGCTGGAGGCGGAGATGCAGAACCTGGAGGAGGAGAAGAACCGAGTGATCGAGGAGGCGTTCATCAGAGCGGAGAGCGAGATGAAGGCGGTCCACGAGAACCTGGCAGGTCAGACCACTTCCTGTCCGTTCTCTCCTGTCTTTGGACCAGTGATGTGTGTTGTCCTTGTCACAGTGTGCGACTGATCAGGTGTGTGTGTGTGTGTGTGTGTGTGTGTGTGTTGTGTTTCAGGAGTGCGTATGAACCTGCTCAGTTTACAGCCGGCGCTCAGGACTCTCACCTGTGACTACAACTGTCTGAAGAGGCAGGTGCAGGAGTTTCCCTTCATGCTGGATAAAGCCATCAACGAGGCGAAGCAGGAGGTGAGGAGGAGGAGGAGGAGGAGGAGGAGGAGGAGGAGGAGGAAGATGGTGAAGGAAGGAGAGAGAATTAGGAGCAGTGATGAGCACTGGATCCCAACATTTGTAGCTCATGATTTTTATATCATGAAGGGGTAANAGGAGGAGGAGGAGGAGGAGGATCAGAGGTGCCTGTCTCTGACCATGTTTAATTATAACTAAAGTTACAATGAGCTTCACAGTAAAAACAAAAAAAAATAATATAGAATAATAATAGAATAAAATTAGAATAAATTAGAATAAACAGTTATGACACATTCCAGCAGTTCAGAGGAAATAAATAAAATAAAAATGTTTCCCCTTCAGCCCTCAGGTCTGACCCAATCACGCAGAGCGTTGATATCAACCTCTGTCGAAAGCTCTGACTTGAAATGATGCTAGTTTTTGTTTGATGCTGATAAACTAAGTAAAAGCAGAGATATGATGATTTACATTTGATATAAAAAATGATTTATTTGTGCGTTAATGTTATACCTATAACATAAATAGGAAAAAGCTGGAGTTGCATTTCTTTTTTGGTCATTTCTCATCATATGGAAAAAAACTGAATCTGATCTACAGGCAGATTTTAGATCCTGAAAATGCTCCACAAGATGAAACCTGCTCTTTGAATCCTCTCAGTCAGCTCTCTGCTGGTTCTCTGACTAAAGTTAAATGAATAACTTTACCTACATGTGTCTTTTAGCAGATGTGTAAATGATAAAATGTATAATTTGAAGGGTTATGAAAACGTTACACCTGAACCAGCGTGTTTTTATTGTAACTGACAGTTTAGTATTAAGTCATTAACCATCAAGGATCGGAAATAAAAACTTCATCATATATAAAATCCAGAACATTGGAGCTGAAACAATTAATCGATAAATTGATTGAAAACAAACTGGCGACAATTTTGATAATTCATCATCAATTATTTAAGAAACTTTTTAAATCAAAAACTTCTCTGGTTCCAGCTTCACGTGAATATTTACTGGTTTTCTTTGACTGAATTATTTTCGTTTTATATGAAGCAGAGCGAAGGAATATTCCTCTAATTTTATGTGTGTGTGTGTGTGTGTGTGTGTGTGTGTGTGTGTGTGTGTGTGTCAGATCTGTCAGGTGATCAGTGAGGTGAGCAGCACAAACCAGGAGCTGCTGCGTAAATACAAGAGAGAGATGAACCTGAGGAAGAAGTGTCACAACGAGCTGGTTCGCCTCAAAGGTCTGAGAGAGAGAAACAACGTCAACAACACAAACAACAAAAACAAATAACAACAACTTCACCTGACAACAATCAGACCACATGTTGTTTAACTCTTAACGTGAAGTGATGACGTCATGTTTTGACGTGAAACTCTGTCTCCGTTTCCCAGGCAACATCCGAGTTTTCTGCCGCGTGCGGCCGGTCAGTCAGGAGGAGCAGGATGCCGCCGACACCAAAACCATGCTGAGCTTCGACTCGGACGACGACGCCGTCCTCTACCTCTCCAACAAGGGCAAGATGATGACCTTTGAACTTGACAAGGTCTTCGCTCCTCAGGCCACACAGGAGGATGTGAGTGACACAGAGACGCCTGAGACCTGATCTCTGGAGGAACGTTTCACACCTGATCTGCAGGTAACAGGGACAGAGGAGGATATCTGTCTCACCTGTCTGTCTTGTCTCTGATTGGTGCATCAGGTGTTTCAGGAGGTGCAGTCTCTGGTCACTTCCTGTATCGACGGCTTTAACGTCTGCATCTTCGCATACGGACAGACCGGCTCTGGGAAAACCTACACCATGGAGGTAGGAGGAGAGTTCGTTTGTTTTTGTGTCAACAGTCCACCTCATGGTTATTATTGTCGTCTCTGAAACGATGATGATGATGATGAAGAACATCTGTGTGTTTCAGGGCGTGGTCAACGACCCCGGCATCAACCAGCGAGCGCTGCGCCTGCTCTTCTCTGAGGTGACGGACAAAGCTCCGGACTGGGACTACAAGATCACCGTCAGCATGGTGGAGATCTACAACGAGACGCTACGGTGAGAAAAGGATGAACGCTGATGAGTCTGATGACCCTCTGACTTTAAACCAGACGAAGAGTCTACAACTATGAGTTCACTGTTTCCACCCTGAGAGGAATCCTGGTCCAAATACAGAACAGCTGTTTTATTTTTTAGGAAGTCACTGAATCATAAAGAAACTAGAGGCATTACTGCTACTGTTAGCACGTTAGCATGCTAGTGTTGTCATACAGCCTAAAGCACATCTGAGCTGCAGTACTGACCTCAATAAACTGAGTCTGAAATGTCCTAAAATAGCCGCCACACAGAGGATGAACCCTTTTGAATTAAATAAAAACATGATCCTTGGGACAAACTTCAGTTATTATTTTTCCTCCGTCTTGTTTCCTGGTGTGTAGTGAACATAAGTACATGAACATCTCGTCTGAAATATTAGGATGTATATAAAATTATTGAATTTGATTAATACGGAAGCGTAATGCATTCACTTTAAAGACCGTGGTGATGCAGATGTTGTGTCCTTTAAAGACAGTGGTGATGCAGATGTTTGTCCATCAGGGTATTTCTGCTCTAACAGAGGCGAGGACAAAGTCTGGTCCAGTGTCTGGGACCTCTCGACATAATCAGGACAGATTTCCCGCAGTTTCAGAGCAGTTATATAAAGGTGAATCACATTAACTATCATCAGTTTATCGCCATCTGTCCAGCTGTTGTGTAAGAGAACAGCTGTGTAAAGCCTGTGAGAGCTCAACATCTGGACGCTGGGTAAAAGTTTTTGGCAGAAAGGTCCAGAACTCTGAGAACTTGAGTCAGATTAAAGGGTCAGATTATGTGTCACCTCAGGACTCATCAGTTCGCAGCTTGATCTTCACATTTAAAATAAATTCAGTAGATCTGACTCTCCTGCAGAGAACACTATCACTTACATAAAGATAAATAATCCTGTATTTTGTTCTTGTGTCGCCTCATTTTAATCTGAACATCATCAGAGAGCTGAGGGAAAATCTGGGGCTCAGAAACAAAGTCAATGACAATATCTACAAAACTGTTTAATATGATATAACTTCTCTGAGTCTCGTCCTCCTCAGTTATTGTTGTCTGGTAATCTCTTCTTCCTGCCATGAAAAAAACACAGTTTACAGTTAAAACAATGGTGGATTCAGCGTCACAATCCCAGTGATGTTTGAAATAATTGATCTTTGTTTTCAGACAAAAGCAGCTTCTTTTCCAGCAGAGTTTCACTGGTTGTGCTGAAATAACAGTGGCTATAGATAGCTTGCTAATTCGGCTAATGTTACCTAAAGTTCCCACCATGAGAACACACTTTAATTATTTTAATTAATTATTTTCAGATCCTATCATGCTAACAGACTGATGCTAAAGCTAAGACATGGGAATAAAGAAGCAGTGTTCTTCTCGTGTTGCAGTTTAGAGCTTCTTATTGTTGTTCATGCTAATAAAACCCTGTTGGCTGCGCAGCTTCAGACTTGTTTACATCTTCAGATTGTATGTTCTGATGTGTTTTGCTAATTAAAAATATAACATGTTTGGCTGCAGTAGGAGAGCAGGACACAGCTGCTAACATTAGCTTAAACTCATGACAGGGAGATGTACTGTTTTTGTTTTGTTTGGTAAATGATGAGGTCACACTGTGCAGGGTTACTACTTTGTGTAGTAAGATGTTTAGTCAAGTCTGTTTTTATTTACATGGCGCTAACTCACAACAAAAGTTTTCTCAAGGCATGTTTAGCAGATGTGCTAATGTTAGCAGCGACATTAAAGCTGATAAACACAGTTTAAATGGTTCCTTACACTTTTTATTTCTTGAAACTCTTCGTACACAGATTATCTCAGACTACAGCCCCATGACTTTGACATGTGCAAAATTACACACCTGCTGGGACTAGTTACTGTTGCTGAGCTGTGATTGGACAATCAGTGTTGGGGGGAGGAGTTTTGACTGAGACGAGTCTGCAGGTGTGAAGTGTCTGTTGTCCGACAGGAACCTGCTGGGGGAGAATCCCACTGACAAACTGGACATCAAGATGAACCCTGACGGCAGTGGACAGCTTTACGTCCCCGGACTGACGGAGTTCACTGTGCAGAGCCCCGAGGACATCAACAGGGTGAGAGCTTCCTGCTATCCTTTCAGTGTAAAAGCCTCCAGACAGCTGCTGGTTTCTGCTGTTTGTCTGCTTCTGCAACCTAAGACTAAAATCTGTGGGTTGACCATCTCCTTCAGTCCTACACTCTTCAGTTTTACTTTGTCTCACAAGTTTGTGTGTGTGTGTGTGTGTGTGTGTGTGTGTGTGTGTGTGGTCCACCTGGTGGTCCTCAGGTGTTTGAGCTGGGTCACATGAACAGAGCAACAGCCTGCACCAACCTGAACGAACACAGCTCTCGCTCTCACGCTCTGCTCATCATCACTGTGTCTGGATTTAACTCTGCTACTGGAAACCGCACACAAGGTACACACACACACACACACACACACACTCTTATACTTCTGTATGTACCCAGCCCCTAACCTTGTGATGGTTCTGGTTCAGGTAAGCTGAACCTGGTGGACCTGGCGGGCTCGGAGAGGATCGGTAAGTCGGGGGCGGAGGGCAGTCGTCTCCGAGAGGCTCAGTGCATCAACAAATCTCTTTCGGCGCTCGGCGACGTGATCAACGCCCTGCGGAGCAAACATTCCCACGTCCCGTTCAGAAACTCCCGCCTCACCTACCTGCTGCAGGACTCTCTGAGCGGAGACAGCAAGACCCTGATGATGGTGCAGGTGAGACCAGCATCAGGTCGACAGGTTTATGTCTCAGCTGGTTTCAGTCCAGACTGACAGACAAGGAAATGTGGATTTATTAAACTGCTGAACAGACAGCCAGCTCGATCGTTATGGTGGTGAACTTGACTCTGTCTTGTGTTCAGGTGTCTCCGTTGCCAAGCAACATGAGCGAGTCGGTCTGTTCGCTCAAGTTCGCTCAGCGCGTTCGCAGCGTCGAGTTAAGTTCCTCATCCTCCAGGAGACACGAGAACTCGTCCACCTCGTCCTCGCCCACGCACGACAGCGTCGAGGTAACACACACACACCACACACAAACACCACACACACACACACACAACACACACCAACACACACACACACACACACACACACACACACACACACACACACGCACATTATAAGAAGAGTAAATCATTACAATCTAATCTAAAAACTGAACACCCTGATTTAAATTTTTGTGTGGATGGTGTCGATGACTTCGACAAATTGAAATGGATGTGTCCTATAAAAATAAGAGTTTATTCTGAATTTTAAACAAACGTTTTTAATCTGGTGAAACTGAAATTCTTTCCAAAAAAAAACATAATAATATGTTATAGTTAACACATTACGGATTATAAACAATAATACTTGAATAATACATCATCAAAATAAAACAATTAAATTTTTCAGGTCACTATAATACAGTTTGACCTTTGACCTCTCCTCAGCTGGACTCTCCCCCCGTGACCCCTGTCCCCCTCCCCATCTCTCGGGCCAGCAGCGCCGGCTCCACCCTCTCCTCCGCTTCCAGGACTCCCAGCAGCTCCCGCAGGAGGTCCCAGTCCCAGCTCTCTACAGGTAGATATGAATCTCAGTCTATATACACACAGGTATACACACCTGTCCACAGGTACACACACACAAACACACATAAATTCAGTCTAATGTTCATTTCCACAGTGACATTCTCTTTTTCTCAGGTCGACAATAATCCTGTTTTTATCCACTTATTATTTCAGGACCAGTTAATCCAGGAAAGGCTTTTAATGTGAAACATCTGCAGGAAGTTACTAGTATCAAACATTAGCTGTTATATCAATTAATATGACATTATATCAGACAAACAAGACAAAGAAAGCCAGACAATATTCACCAAATATTCACATCTGGGGAAGATTATTAGATGTAATAATTATTATTATTATTATTATTGATCAGCTAATCAACTAATTATTTGAATCAATCCCTCCTGAATGTGTTTTACCAGGCTGTGTTTGTTTGATTCAACCTTTATTTAAACACCACACACATCATAAACAGACACAATTAATCGTTCATTTGTCATGTGGTAATTAAAGAGCTGTAACTAACGATTATTTTCTTGATTAATCAGTGATTAGTTTCATCTATACAATGTTAAAAATCAATAATCAACAGAACAGCTGCCAGTTTTATTTTCAATCAATCGATTAGGTTTTTATTTCATCTCTTTAATGACTGGTATTCAACATCACTAAAAGAGTAAATGATTAAATATTTCTACATCATTATTATTTTCATTAATGACTGAACATGCGTCACTGAAAGATTTGAATGTAATTCAGTTTCTCATCTCCACATTTAAGAATCTGGAACCAGGAAAAAAACATTTTTACTTAAAAATGAAAAGAAATAATTAATCAAGTTATTAAATATTTGCCAATTAATTTTTTGTTGCAACTCTAATTAATCATCTGTCAAATAAGTAATTATCAACTGACTGCTGCACAACTTTCAAACTAAAAGTCTGAAAACACTGAACCTCTCACACTTCTGTTCTGGAGGCCACAAGACATTTTGGGAAATGTAGGAAACCAGGTGAAGTGGATCCAGTGAGAGGAGTCAATAATGATAAATAACCCCTGAACATCACAGGTCTGAACTGTAACAGTGGCAGAGGATTTTCCCAGCACCACCTCCTGTCAGTCTGCTCCTCTTCTTCTTCTTCTTCTGTGTCCTCATTCTGTGGTCTGATTGGTTGGTTTACAGACAGACAGGTAGACAGAGCCAGCCCATTGGTCGGGGACGGTGGGCAGGTAGGTTGGGGTGTATGCTGATTGGTGGATAGCTTGGCATGGAAGCGCTCGGCATGGCATGGTGCCCTCCCCCCTCCACCCATGTAACACTCCTCACCTCTAACCACAGAGCTCCACCAGCTTCCGTCTGTGCGCCTGCAGAGTCATGAGCAGGGCCCACGGAGCCCACAGGCCTCCTGTGTGCAGCGGACTGTGCTGTTTGTGTCGCCTGTTTGAGTCTGGTTCTTCTCAAACCTCAATTCAAGTCACAAGGAAACGACATGTTCACTAATTCACTCTGTCACAGCTGTTAAAGGAACAGTCCCGCATTTTACTGAATGTTTGTTTCAGTTTCATTAGTTTGATCTCTCTGTGTCCAGTTAGCTTAGCTTAGCACAAACACCTGAAGCACTGTTAGCCTAGCTCCAACAAAAGAGAAAGAGAGAGACCTTCAACAACTACAAAGAAAAGCTTTCTTTAACTTTATTTCTTTAAACTTTATTAATCTCAATATGTTTTACACTGGATTCAACATTTTGTGGAAGTGTGTTGATTTGTTGTTTGTTAGTGAATAAATGCAACACAAAGAAACTCAGTTAAGTTAAAGAAGCATTTGAGACTTTTATTTAATTGCACTGAGGCAGTTTTGAATTGCGTGTAGCTTTAAGGCAGCTATATGTAAGTTTAGCTTTTGCTACATAGCTAAAGTTAGCATTAGCAGCTGTTTACTCACCGTCTACAAAAAATGTTGTGAGTTCAGCATCAAACTTCAGTCCTTTACTCACCAATATTAACTCTTGGTTTGCTTCTGTTTCTATCACTTCTTTTCTCATACTGAAGTTAGCATGCTAACCAGCTAGCCCTGTCCGAGGAAATACCATCTTTGTCACTTTCTGATAGTGAGTCACTGTAGGGTCCAGTCTGCCCTGAAGAAGTAGCAGCTCAGAGGACATATTGTAAACGCAACAATGGCTGAAGCTCTTGGCTGGTTAGCAAAGAGCTGCTAATGCTAACGTTAGCTTTGTAGCAATAGCAAAAGTGCTAATACAGTTAATAGAGAGAGAGCTGGACACACAGAGATGAAACTGATACAAACACTGTGTTTTCTAAATTATAATCAGGTGTATGTGACACCTGAAGCATACGAACAAACCATCTTCAAACATCTTTGAAGAGTGTGTGTGTGTGTTAGTTTAGCTTCCTGTTTTAACCAGATACATATTTAATCCACTAACGTCTTTTCCTTGTGGCTTCAGTGTGTGGGTGTTGTGAGTGAGTTGGTGTCTGGATGGATCCTGTCCCCCCTCCCTCCTCCTCTCTGCTGGTCTGTGGTCTGGCTGGGCGTCCTGCTGATGAGCCGAGGATTGCGGGGTGGCTTACTCCATGTCTACACTCATAAATCTGAAAACACTGTTGGCATCTGTTTGAGTAGTAGAACAGAGACACCTCATGTGGGACAAGTTAAGACAGGAGCTGGTTTTCTGTGCTCAGAAAGCTGTTGAAGTCTTAAGGGGAAAGCAAGTGAATCCCAGGAATATGTGAAATATTTCTTCAGTAAGACAGATAAGACCATAACAACCCCCAGGTGTCCTCATAGACCGTAACAATCCCCAGGTGTCCTCATAGACCATGAAGACCCCAGGTATCCTCATAGACCGTAACAACCCCTAGGTGTCCTCATAGACCATGAAGACCCCAGGTGTCCTCATAGACCGTAACAATCCCCAGGTGTCCTCACAGACCGTAACAACCCCAAGGTGTCCTCATAGACCATGAAGACCCCCAGGTGTCCTCATAGACCATAACAACCCCCAGGTGTCCTCATAGACCGTAATAACCCCTAGGTGTCCTCATAGACCCCCAGGTGTTTCTACTTAGTTACACTGACTTAGAGCACTGCAGCATAATTTTTTTTTCAAATTTTAAATCATCACCTGAACGTGTTTGCGAGGCCAGACTGTACAAAATAAAGACATGTTTTCACATTTATTATGAGCAGTGTGGACATGGTCTGACTCAGTGATGTGTCACATGACTTCTGACTGACGGTCTGGTTTTCACTGCAGGACGACTGAAGCTGACGGCCTGAGGGACCCAGAGATGATGCTGAGGGATGTCCGGGGCCGACCGCAGGGTGTCAGCCAGCACCCTGAGGATTTTAGCTGCTGGGACACCACCCCCATCCTGTCAGCACTGGATTTGTTACCCTCCTCAGCTGGTTGAAAGAACAAGAAAAAGGAGCAAAGACTGATGGGAACTTTACGGAGCAGAACAATCTCAAATATCCACTGACCTGCCTCCTTCAGCAGAGAACATGGAGTTTTCTGGTTTCTGTGTCTTCTTGCTGTGATGATGGACATTTAAAAAGGACTCTAGTGACTCTGGTGAGAAACCACTGAACGGTTCTCTAGCTCCACCCGTCTGGACTGAACTGAAACCCTCACTAACGTCTCCCATCCTCCCAGAAATCAGTGTATGCTCTCCAATCACAGTATTTCTTTTATTGTCTCTTTGTAAAGTTGCACTTTAAATTTCTAGATTATTTTCTAACCCACGATTCCAGATGTGGTTGATTATAATATATGCATAATATGATTACATATTTATGTTTGACATGCTTTAATCTTGTTTTTTGTTTTTAGATTTATTTTCTTTTTGGTGGAGGAAGTGGACCACATGAAAAACTTCTGAGGTTAATCTTAAAGTTTTGATTTTTGCATCAAATCTCAGAAAGTTAAGATGAATCTGATTCTGTCGCATGTTGAATCCTCTTCTGTAGTTCTCTACCGGAGGCTGAATTTGTGTCCTTGTGGTCCTCCTTTATCCAATCAGGGTACTCCACTAATACTGAGCTGTCCAATAGGACATGAGCAATACAAGGAAATGGTCACCTGTGTATGATTGTTGTTTTTCTGCTGTTCCTGTGGATGTTTTTTTTTTTTTTTTTTTTTCATGCAGTGGACGTATCTTCGTCTTCCTTCAAACAAAAAGACAGAAAAACTTCTTCACTTTTCCTCGACTTCACTGTTTCTTCTCGGTGTGATCCTGCTGCTGTCTCGTCACCTCTTTACCAAACCACAGGTGACCTTTGGCCTCAGACTGAAGAGATCCGTAGCTGTCGACCCGGTGCTGAGCTTGACATGACGCAGGAGGACGTGAACTGTTAGTCGTAGTTGTAGTAAACATGGATGCTTAGAAACGCGATGAGCTGCTGTGTGATGTTGAGCTGATGATCAACATGTCTGCTTGCTTCGTCTGCACTGTAGATTTCTACAGATTGTTTTTTGTATTCCCTTTTTAATAAACACTCCAGAACAAACAAACAAACTCATGTTGACTCGGTGTGAAATATCTGTAGTAGCTAGTCTCAGTTTTGGTAAATATATACAATAAATATGGATGTGGTTACCTTAGCTTAGCATAAAGACTGCAAACAGGGAAACGGCTAAATTAAGTTACCTTAGAAACTCATTAACGTGTGTCTGGAACTTGACACAATAAGGTTGCCAGATTTAGTACCATCATGTATCTGGCAACCTGTGTTGTCAGCACTGAAGCACTGGGTGGATGGATACACTGTCAAGAAATAGTTTTACCACATAACTCATACAATCACATACTGTGTTTCTAACATGTCAGACCTCATCACACCAACATGTAAAACTGAGCTTTTTTCAGTCTTGGTGAATGTTGACTGTCAAGTTTACATTGTTGCTCAATGACAAACCATCCTGGCAGGACTAACCAGGAAGTGGATGGAACACTGGAGATTCCAAAATAAACGAGGTGTGTCACCATCCAGTTAAAGATGAATGTCCTCAGTTGGAGTATGACATGATTAGACATTGATGGGATAATGGGAAAATGTTTTTTTGACTTTAAGGATTTTTTTGAACTATTTTTATGCTTTACTATACTATGACTTCTTATGTCTCACTAAATTGCAACTTTTTATTACTTATGATAACTTATTATACTATGACTTTTTATGCCTTACTATACTATGACTTTTTATGCCTTACTATACTATGACTTTTTATGACTTTTTATGCCTTGTTATACTATGACTTTTTATGACTTTTTATGCCTTACTGTACTATGTCGTTTTTATGACTTTTTATGTCTTACTATACTATGACTTTTTATGCCTTACCTTACTATACTATGACTTTTTCATGACTTTTTATGCCTTACTATACTATGACTTTTTATGCCTTACTATACTATGACTTTTTAAGCCTTACTATAGTATGACTTTTTTATGACTTTTTATGCCTTACTATACTATGTCTTTTATACCTTACTATACTATGACTTTTTCATGACTTTTTATGCCTTACTATACTATGACTTTTTAAGCCTTACTATACTATGACTTTTT